AAAAAATCTTATGACTACATACCCCAAAGATTCAAATGGTGATGTGTGTAAATATATTTGAATATATATTTAAATATATTTATTAATTTTGTACTCCTAACTCTGTGGCATGTGATCATGCACTAGTGCAGATATTTAGCAGAATATGATACGCAACTGCTTTTGAGCTCTTGAATTATTAGCATACTCTCACAACACAGCAACGAAACTCGAGCGGAAAGGAGAAGACAAGTACACAAACAATAAAACCGAACATTAGAGAGTATTGCTACGTGCTACTTGAATCTGAAGCAAACTCTAATGCTGATGACTTTTTGTGACACTACACAGAAATGTAGGCTACTCTCAGATGCATTGTTTACCATCCCGTTTTCTCTTTGTTACAGTCGCAGTTTTACTTCCTGACAGTCAAGTTGCTGATGTGTCATATCTGCGGCTGTCCTGCAGAGAAGCTCGAATCCGCAGCCCTAATGGGCCGTTTGGGGGATGCTGATTGGCATATCCAATGAGTCCTGTCAGTTGTGTTGTGTGTGTCCAGCCCAGCTTCTGTTACTCCGAGGTGTGCATTTTCCTCTGTTAATGGTTCTGCAGCACCAAACTTTCTGGTGATCGCTGTCTAATTGCTGCCTGTGTCAGTGGATGCCGCATCAGCCCTGAGAGAAACAGCCAAATGAGACGCACATCAAACGCGAGCGGAGGCCGTGATGATGAAGATGAAGGTCTGCTGTTTACTCATTACACACATATCATGTGTGTGCGGCCGAGGCAGTGGGACTGAGACCTTGGCACATCAGAACGGGTTTCGCACACATACACATCATTAGTGCCATGAGAATGGCATAAATGAGGCCCACGCACTCAGCATCTAATGGTTTGTGTCTGAGGGCAATTCTTTTAGCGATGTCATTTGGAAAAACAGCATGATAACAGTAAAAATATGTGAAACTGTCCAGTGTGTTTTCGTTTTGATGAGACAGGCAAACAGATATGGTAGATAACTATAAATAACACAGTTAATTGATTTGTTTACTAGGGTCTGTTAGCATGAGATTGTCTTGCAAAATATTTTTTGATGCATTAAAAAATGATCACAAATGGCTCTAATAGGAGTATAACTTTGCAAATATTTCCCCTCAAACACACACATACACAGCATTTCCTTCCTCGGAGGAGTCATAAAAACCAAATAGGAGTTTTCAGAGAAACTGCTTGCACACCACACTGAAGATTAATTACTGTAGCCTACTGCTGCGAAGAGTCCAGAGGCAAAGACACACCAGAGATTAAAAGTGCCAAACTCTTATAGTGGAATGATTTAGTGCAGTGAAATTCTCTCTAGATTTAGCAGACAATGTGCTAGTAAACCTGTAGGATACAGCATCACTGCTTAAGCGTATGATTCAGGATGGACACAGTGTCGTCATTGAGGTGGGTAACTGGGAATGTTTTTCCCAGGCCTTGCGGTGAGGGAGGCCCTAAGGTGACTACGACAGTGATTCTCAACCACTAGAGGAATCAGGAAACTTTTAAGTGGGCCAAAAGATGAACTAAAAGGATTTAAAACAATATTTATATTGATTTATTATAGTATTATTTTTTAAATAACATTTAAAATATGAATAATTTTAATATTTACTAAATGTAATAATAAATATAGCCTCTTAATATTTTAGAAATCTAACCTGAGTAAAATGTTAAAAATGCAAAACAATTAGGTATTTTTTTATTTATTTTTCATTGGGTATAATGGTCATGTGTACAAAAAGCTGTTTATTTTGTTTCACTGTAATGTCAAAAATATTATTAAATTATTATTAAATATCAAAGCATGTTAAATTAAATGACAAAAGTTATATTGTCAAAAAAGGTTGAGAACCACAGCACTAGTTTACACATTAGACCATTAAAATTGTCCCTGGACAGACACATAAGATGTTACTGGCCGTTTCACTGGTCTCACGTGTCTACTTTTAAAACTACAAAGATGAGCCAAACCCAAACCCAAAACCCTTAAAATATTTACTGGAAAAACAAAATCTAATTCGACTGAATAAAAGAGAAAAGAGAAAATCTATGCCTCATGCACTCACATATATCACTGGAACATAATAATGCTTTCCCGTATTGATTATCATTTTGCTACACTATAATTTCCCATCTCCCTTTCGTTTTTAATGACGTTTGGTAAACGACTACAGAGCGCGAGTTGTTCCATAGCAAGATGAACATCCGGGTTTGTTTTTACCCTCCATAGCAACCGCAGCGCGTCCTCAACTGATTCCTCATGGCAACACAAACAGACAAGCACTAATGCGACGCCATTGAGTTAGAAGGGGTTCAACGTGCAATTTTAGTCTTTTAATTTCTATTGCTCTTTTTGAGTTGAAACTCTGTTTAGTTAGCAATGTGTACGAAAATGAGAACATTTCATCCTTTGGCTAAAAGAGAACTGAAAACGGAGGGGTTTACTGTGAAATCCACCATGAAGAATTCAGTGGTGAGTGTATGCTGATTTGTTATTTTTGTTTTGAAGTGTTTTAGTGATTATCTAAGTTAAACTAATACCAGAATATACTGATAATGAACACAAATGAACACACAGTATTTCCAGCAACCATAAATAATACCTGCATAAAGTAGGCTATATTACTGTCAATCTATATTTTTCCGTCTGCATCAAACGAGTCAAACGTTGTTGGGGATTTTGATTCATCTTAATGACTCGATTCTTTTAACTCGATTCACTATCATTACGCCAGTAGGTGGTGACAAGTGAATGTCTTTTGTTAAGGAATCATTAATTTGCCTTGTTGTGAACGTAGTTTTGATGGTCACGAAAAGAGATACTTCGTTCATTCAGTTCGTTTATTACTAGATATGCCTGCCCATTTGGTTCATTAAATGAGATGTCTAATCGAGTGCCTCTCGGAGTCTTGTTCAGACTTGTTTAGTAAAGTGGGCGTATTCGTTCACAGTCTATCCGCTTAAGTATGACGTCACGCGTCACCGCTTCCGTGTCCAAATCAGATACCACAAGAAAACAACAAAAAGTGCTAATATACACTCACAATGTGATATAATACTACCAAAAAAATTATAATCCTAACCTTTAACTCCATACCGAAATCTCAGATAGCCAGACAATGAAAATATTAATATAAATAAATAAATATAAATATTATTTGTGTTTGGGACGCTGTGAGCATGGAGACTGTAGTGTACACCGTAAGTTTGAAAACGATTAGCTTAAATGTTTAATATGAATAAACAGTGCTCATAAACGGCTGCTGAGGTAGTATTCTCAAGTGAAGCGAGTTGAGGTTTGGACCCGGAAACAGCACTTCTTACCACTTAACAAGTGGATGGTTCAGTGTATCCAAACCAATATGTCCTTCACAGCCTACGCTCGAATGCTATTTGCTCGCGCTATAGTCAGTTTTAAGTAACCGTTGTAAAAGTTATATAAAAAAGTTGACTGTTATTGTTTGTGAGGCAAATTATTGTAAATGCTATCTTACTTTGGATTACTTTTCTGAAAAGAGGCAGCCTTAATGACGTATGCAGCCGACAAATGCGATTTCCGGAGGGTGCAACCTTCGAAAATGAACAAAAAAATACAGTCATGGCCAAAAGTTTTGGCAGTGACATAAATTTTTTTTTTTTTTATAATAAAAGTTTGTTGCTTAAGCTGTTGTGGTGTTCATTCACATTGTTTCTAGATTATTGTGTAGAGTGATCAAATGCATTTTAAATAATTGCTAAAAGCTTAATTGGTCAAAAAATGAACTTTTCACAAAAAAAAACTAATTTCACAGTTTTTTGATCCTGACACAAAATGACCAGCTAACATTAATTGACTAATAATATCAAGCACATGTGAAAGTGTGAATGAGTACTAGTCAGGTGAAATCAATGTCATGCTAATTAGATTGTAAGAGCTTACTTATTGCTATAAAAGGAGGGAAGAAGTGCTGCCAATCATTGTGTTCTTGTTAGCAATGGTTACCTCCAAAGAAACACGTGCAGCCATCATCGCTTTGCATCAAAATGGCCTCACATGCAAGGAAATTGCTACAAAGAATATTGCACCTGAAAGAACCATTTATATTACACATCAAGAACTTCAA